GCCATAGAATAGTGTGGATAGAATGCGCAAATATTGACTCGACCACTGGGGGACAAGAATCGTTGGTCACAAACTGGATGTTCCCAACGTATAAACAATTCGTATGACCTTAAAATGGTCGTAACATTAGCTTAAATTGACCAACTAAATCCAAATAATCTGCACATTGTTTGGATTTTAATTACGTGTTCTTTCGGTGGAAAAAATTTGTCACTAGCACGAAACCATTCTCAGTTGGAAAATGGTCTCCCAGAACATCAATTTACCTCTAGACACCTTACCGAATCAAATATCCTCTCAATAAATGAAAGAGGGCTTTCCTGAAGTGAGAAGATTGCTGGAGAAGCGTACGTGACAGTTACCAACCCCATCAGGATCTCAACAGCCTCATTAGTTCAAGGCCAAGCTCATGATAAATCTGGTTTAGCTGGTTTCACAAGACTAGTGGACATGATGTTAAAGAATAGAAGATGTTACAGAAGAGTGCGAATTGGCGAAGAAAACGCGAAAATCAGCGTTTCCAGATAGAGATAGGGCTTGTACAGTAACAGTAAAATTAGGAGTTGGACGAGAATGTGACGACAAAAGTTGCATGAGGGAGTATTTGGACAGCCTGTTTAAATTTTTATGCCATTGCGTACAGCTGACCGCAATCAGCTGCCTACGTGCGGGTGTGGGTACATTGATGCGTTCGGAGATGCAGGCGGCGCATTGCGCGACAAAATTCCTAACAATGGGGCACAAGCTCCAGATAGAGTAGGTAAGTTGGATTAGCTGATCTCACTAATTTACTCCCACAGAGTGATCTCTTGATAAGAGGACGCAGACGACGATAGGAATGGTGAAGGCGCGCGTAATTCAAAACGATTACTTACATCCTTAATGCCATACCAATGATGTGCGTAATGAAGCAAATGAATATTAGTCGCCATGGATCCATGGAGCAACATCAAAACGGATAGTATAGAAATAATAATATCAGGATTGAAGCGAAAAGTGATCTTTACCGGCCCTTCGAAACGTGAACTACAAGCGGCTGTGAATATCTTGAAAAAATAGCAGCGACAAACGAAGCTAGATAATCTCAGTGTTTTATTCTTAGAGTAGGAAGGTTCACTGAGGAGATAGAACGAGGATTACCGTGAAATTGAAGTAATAGTTCAAAAATTGTTTAAAGAGCGTACGTGACAATGCGAAATGACCGAACCACCAAAAAAAACGAACCGGGTTCTCAACCTGTTAAAACATGTCGCGGCGGCTAGACCACAGCTAAGTTCCGCTTCATTCTTGTTTTTGCTTCCCTTCTGGTTGACCACATCTATTCTGTTTACTATTTGCCTGTTTACTATTACTTATTTACCGTTTTGAATGTTTATCTTTACATTTTTTTTTGTGATTCTTCGTATTAGGGAGCTAATAGGCATCCAGGAGCTATCAATACATCTCACAGTTGAATCTATATAGGGTAAGCCAAACACTTATTGTCAAACAATCAAATCTGCCTGTTTTCTCTTATTGTGAAGTTGGTACTATACATTTCCATTTCCCATATACTTTTCAGATTTCCTGATTTACCTGACCATCCCTTTTTTGGCGTGCACAACAGCACTTAGAGTCCCAAATTGTTGAAAGCAATCTAGCTCCGGATTCCCCTTTGCGTTTGCACGTACTGGGGAGCATTGGGAATTCTGAACGAAGGACGAATCTATTTGTTACGGGAGACGGGCAGGGCAGTAGGATCGGTTCTGTGTAATCGATTCGCCGCCTGCGGCTGTCGCGGACCATTCGCTTCACAGTTATTACAGCTTTAGCGTTCCTCATACAGCTCAATTGATATGTGATCATTATTATAGGCATGATTCTACTGTTAGTTCTTTTGTTACTGCATTTCTTACCTGCTGCTACATTCTGCTACATCCCTTCGCGAGCGGCGTCCCCCTCGCCGCAACGCGAGTATTCCGATCCTGCTGCACCACACCCATTTGTTATCTATTACCACGAAAAAACTTTAAACACTTTCACTTGCGCGTTTAGTGACGCTGACCGCATGCTCACCCAAAAAGTCCAAGCTTCGAGGAGCAAGCCAAGATAGAAGGTAGTACGGAAGGGTCTTCCAGTAGTCTGTTGCTCTTTGTCTTCTCACTGTTCCTTTGATGTTCATGAGTGCTCCCCACGCTGAGGAATGGGTTTGAAAGCCAGTGACGGCCTTAATACTGAGAGACAGCAAACTTTAAGCCCTTCATGCCCATTATCAGATGGC